AAATAATGCCCAAAAACGTGAGGACAGCGGCCGGCGAGACAGCGGTGATGGAGTGCGCGCCTCCGCGGGGTTTCCCGGAACCGGTCATCTCATGGAAACGCAACGGCGAGAAGATTAACACCGGTTTCGGACGGATTCGACTCAACGGCAATAATCTGATGATCAGCGAAGTCAGACCCGGAGATGAGGGCCGATACCAGTGTATCGCCGAGAATGTAGTCGGCGTACGGGAGTCTCCGCCCGCTATACTCAACGTTCAGGGTTTGTACTCAACTAAAACACACCAATCATTGACAGACAATGTTTCAATCATTGGATGACATTATTATGATATTAACAAAACGATTGTCTCTTTTTGTCTGCAGTGAAACCATTCTTCATAAGAGGACCGGAAGACGTGACCACATTATCGAGTGAACATGTTGAGTTTCATTGCAAAGTGGGCGGCGATCCCACGCCGACTATCACGTGGCGCAGACAAGATGGTAAAATGCCAATCGGAAGGTACGGCTACATCCAGTCCTAATATAACATAATGCTATGTGAAATGAATTTTCACTTTATTTGACACTAATTTCTCATATTTCTCATTGAATTCAGGGCACAAATACTGGAGGACAAGGCGTTGAAGATAATTCACGTGACGCCTGCGGATGAAGGGGTAAGTGTTGGATAAATACTCAGCACATCCGGAAAACAAGTGTCTCTAATGTTAACTAATGTGACTTTAGGTATACATATGCGAAGTGGAGAACCCGGTCGGCACTATCACCTCCTCGGCCACACTTATCGTTCATTGTATGCAAACATATTTAAATGATTTGAATTATAATTATTTGCGAAACTAATCCATACCCACACTTGCCATACGCACAGCTCGTCCCACATTTCTGGTTCAGCCGAAAGACATTCGAGTGCCTGTGAATAGTGTGGCCCGACTGGACTGCGTGGCCACCGGAAACCCTCCGCCCTCTGTGTTCTGGACGCGCGAAGGCAATCAAGTGCTGATGTTTGGCGGCAAAAGTCACGGCCGCTTCTCCGTGTCCTCTGAGGGGACGCTAACCATATCGGGTGTCCGTAAAGAAGACAAAGGCTATTACGTGTGCTCAGCCGTGTCGGTCGTGGGCTCATCGATGGCCAAATCGTATCTGACAGTGTCAGCGGTGGCCGATGTGCCGCCACCGCTCATCAAATTAGGTCCGGCCAATCAGACACTACCTCAAGACACGATCGCAATGCTTCCCTGCGAGACAATCGGTTCGCCGCAACCGGTGGTCAAATGGCTGCTAAACGGCAAACCCATACCCCTATACGACCCCCGGTTTGTTGTGCTCGACTCCGGCGCCCTTCAGATCGATGGTATGGTTTCGTTTGATTTTTTGTTCGCTTTATAGTTAATCCCAATTAAACGCTCATTAGTTTAGATTAAATTATGGTAAAAATTTTTTCCAGTGGTTTAGTTAATGTATAAATAGTTTGTATTAAGAAATAAGGCATTAAATAAGTTGTTTTGCATTTTTTTCATTGCATAATAAGTCGGTTGTGAACCAAAAAACTGGGCATAAATTAAAACATAAAAATGATTTTAATCTTTTTGGATTAATAGCCGATTTTTTCGCCCATAAAAAACACAAAATTATTTTTGTGACTAATTTATGAAATGAACCAAAAATTTGCTTTAATTAATGATTAATTAACTTCACGAAAAAATACCTGATGTTTAATGACTTCGTAATTATTAATTAATGCTAACATTAAATACTGTTTTATCTGTTAATCAAAGCTCACTAAACGTCTTATTCATCTCCTGTATTAAGTCATTGAACACAAAACACCGAGTCTTGCGAAACAAGACTCGAGACTAAAAAGTAGTTATCATTAAAACTATAATTAAAACCATTTCCATTAACACCACACAGACCTCCAGAAGGCCGACTCCGGTCTCTACACGTGCATCGCCTCCAGCGAGAGCGGGGAGACCTCTTGGAGCGCATCCCTGGCCATAGAGTCGCCGAGAAATCCCAACATAATGTTTCACCGAATGCCCGATCCGTCCACTT